ATATGCAAAAGTAGAAAGAATAGGGAAATGACCCCTCATTGAAACCATCACCCACCTTCAGCAATTAATTACTACGTGGCTAATTTAGATTTATATGTACCCCTACCTAGGTAACTTTCAGTTTTTGATTTCTGATTCAGTTCCATTGTGGTAAGATTTGATTCCTTTTAAATGTATTGAGACTAGTTTCATGGATAGAATACAGTCTGTCTTGGTGAATGTTTCTTGTGCACTTAAGAATGTTTAGCCTGATCAAGTTGAATGCATGCTCTATAAATGTTAATTGGGTTAAGTTGTTTGATGGTGGTGTTCAAGTCTTCTGTCTCCTTACTGATTTTCTCCCTACTTGTTCTATCAATTACTGAGAGAAAGGTATTGAAATCTCTGGCTGTATTTACAAATATATCTATTTCTCCTTCCAGTTCTATAAGATGTTGCTTCCTGTACTCTGAAGCTCTTTTATTAGATGGATAAACACTTAGGATTCTTAGGTCCTCTTAATGAATTGATCCCTTTTTCATTATGAAACTACTGTCTTTTATTCCTGATAATAGTCTTTGCTCTAAAATCTACCTTGACTGAAACTAATATAGCTACTTTAGCTTTCTTTTGAATCATGTTAGCTTGGAACATTTTTTCCATCCTCTTAGCTTTAATCTATTTGTGTCTTCATGTTCTAAGTAAATGTGCACTGCATATTGTTGGATCTTACTCTTTTATTCAACCTGATGCTCTGTCTTTTGAAGGGGTGTTTAGGTAACTTTTATTTAATGTGATTACTGATATGGCTGTGTTTAAATCTACCATCTTGCTGTTTGTTTTCTGTGGGTCACATCCTTTCTTTGTTCCCCTTTTCCTTTTTTTTATGCCCTCTTCTAGATTAATTGGTTATTTGTTATTTCATTTATCTCCTTTTTGATTTTAATTCTGTATATTTTAGCAGTTGTTTAAGCTTTATGCTATACATCTTTGACTTACTGCAGTCTACCTTTAAGTAGCAATGTACCTCGTTATGTGTGTAACGCGTGAAGAGTGTACCTTCATTTCCCCTGTCTCCGCCTTTGTGCTGGTGTGTCATATATTTTACACCTGTGTATGTTATAAATCCCGCTGTGTATTGTTTTTTATTTTTCGCCTTAAATTGTCAATTATCTTTTTTAAATTTTTTATTTTTTATTGAGGTATAGTCAGTTTACAATGTTGTGTCAGTTTCTGGTGTATAGCGTAATTCTTCAGTCATACATGAATGTACATATATTCATCTTCTTATTCTTTTTCACCATGAGCTACTACAAGGTATTGACTGTATTTCCCTGTGCTGTACAGTATAAACTTGTTTATATTTCACACATAACCATTCAGTGCCTGCAAGTCTCAAACTCCCAGTTTATCCCTTCCCACTCCCCTTGTCAGTTATCTGTTAAACTTTTAAATCAGGAAAAAAGTACTTTAACTTACCCATGTATTTACTTCCTTTCACTTTCCTTGTCCTACTGGTATGTTGCTGATTCTTTCAGTTGTTGTGCATCTTAAAGTCTTTGTCTTTGCTTTTCTTACAGGTTGATAGGGTTTCCTTTTCTTTCCTGTCGCTATCTCCTGGCTTGCCTTTTTCCAGCAAGCAGTCTCCTGTCATTCTTAGCTTTATTCCTCTGTACACAGTATGTCAGGTTGGTTTTTTTTTTTCAGCTTTTCAGATTTTCTCGTCATTGCTAGTTTTCAGCAATTTGCTTGTGATGAGCTGTAGTGTCATATTCTTCATGTTTCTTGTGCTTTGTGGTTCATGGAAATTTTTGGATATCTGGGTTTATAGTTTTTATTAAATTTTTAAACTTTTCAGCCATTGTTTTTTGAAATATTCTTTCTGTTGATTCCGGTTTCTTCTCTTCTTCTGGAACATCAGTCGCATGTGTATTTGGCCATGTGAAATTGTCTTTAATTTCATTAATGGCCTGGTCTTTAAAATTTTTTTCTCACCTTTTTCTGTTTCATTTCAGATAGTTCTATTACTGTGTCCTCAGGTTCACTCATCTTTTTGTCTGTAGTGTCTGACATGTTCTTAATGCCATCGAGTGTATTTTTCTTCTCAGATTTCATAGTTTTCACCTCTGCAGGTTTATTTGGGGTCTCTTTTATACCTTTCGTGCCTCTCCGTAAGCTGCTGATGCTTTCTGCCTTCCCGACCATGTGCAGTACATCTCTCATAGCTCTTCAGTGCACTTATCTGCAAACTCTGCCTTCTGTCTCCTTTCTGGATCTGTTTCTATTGAATGATTTTATCCTCATTATGAGTTGTATTTTCCAACTCTTTTGCATGCGTGATAATTTTCGATTGGATGGCAGACATTTTGAATTTTAGGTTGTTGTTCAATTTTTTTTTGTATACTTTTAAATATTTTTGAGCATTGGGATGAATTTAAATTAGGGGATAGTTTGATCCTTTCTAGACTTACTTTTAATCTTTTTTACGGAGACCAGTGCAGCCTTTTGTCTAGGGTTAACTTGGCACTATTACTAAGGCAATACTTTGCTGACTATTCACCTTAATGTTTCACGTATCACAAGATTTCTTGAACTGCTCTAGCCCTGTATGTGCGCCAGGACCTGTTTTGCCTGTGCTTCTGGTGGCTCTCTTCCAGCCTTGGGTCATTTCTTCACGCACTTGCTCTGACTGTCTCTCCGTATGTGGTTCTTTCCTCTCTGGTGCTCTGCCTGCGAGTTCTAGCTTTGTTGGCTTCCTGTGGCCCGTCAGCTCCGGGAGAGCAGCAGGCCTTGTTGGGGCTCCCCCTTTCAGTGCTGCAGCCTGGAAGCTGTCTCTGGATATTAAGGCAGCGTTATTGTAGGATTCACCTTGTTTCCCTTTTCTTAACATTCAGTATCCTATGTTGCCTATTGTCCAGTGTCTGAAAACTATTTTTTGTACGTTTTTTGCTGTTTAAAATAGAAGGTTCAGGCTGCATCATTACCTGGAGCAGAAGGCTGACTTCTGTGTTACTTCATTTATTACCAGAGTAAATCCATTATTCACATAACAAAAGATAAGGATGATGCCTTTTTCCAGGGATTAAATTAGATAATATACACGAAAAGCACTTCATAGATGGTAGAGTGCCAGGAGCTGCACACACGTCTACCCTTGCTGCTGCCTAGGAGACAGCCTCATTTCCAGCAGTTGTGGATGTTCTGTATAGGAGTAAGGCCTAAAAGGCAAAAAGATGGAAGCGTTGTTTGTGAAAATCTACCTGTGCCTCCATGCACACCTGTATGTCATGTTGCTTATTTTTCTGTGCTGGATTCATTCATGCATTCATTTATGCAGCAGATATTTCCTAGACACCCAGTTGTCAAGCTCTGTTCTAGACACTGGAGATCTCTGCCCTCAAGGAACTTACATTCTATTGGTGTGTACTTTCTGATCTGTGTGTCTTAGCTGTCCCACTCTTTTTCATCACTGTCTCTGCACACGTCTCATTCCATCTCTGATCCTCTATGTGAGTGCTCATCTCATTCCGCCTTCACCTCCTGTATTTTCTTTCCCTAGTTTATCTGGTCTTCCAATGTTATCTTATTCTTTATTTCATTCATCCAATTGTCATAATATTTTCTCTACTAATATTTTTTTTTCTTTCTGTGTAAAAGCCAGAGGAAAAGAACTGTCTTTACAAAGCTTACAAGGTTAAAAGATCTGTGCCTCCACTTACCTCTTTGAATTCCTCACTTACTGCTGACCCCTTATTCATCTCATTCCAGCCTTGTTGGCCTCCTTGCCGTTGTTTTCTGGACACCAGGCATGGTCCTACCTCAGGGTCTTTACACTTGCTGTTCCTTCTGCTTCGAGTGTTGTTCTTCCATATATCATGTCTCACCCCTCACTTCCTTCAAGTCTTTGTTCAGTTGACACCTTTGCAAAAAGGCCCTTTCTGGCCTCGCCCTATTTTTAAGTTTCATGCCTTCTGCTGCTGCCTTGGCTGTTCCCATTCCTACTTTATTTTTCTTGTTAACATTTATTACCTTTTTAATTTTATTATAAAATTTACTTGTTTGTTTCCTCTCTGTTGTTGCATTAGCATATAAACTGTATGAAGGTAGGGATTCCTCTACTGTTGACAGAAGCACCAGGACACTGCCTGGTACTAAGGAGCAAAATAAGTATTTATTGAATGAATGAGTCTCCTGGGTAAAATCCTTTTTTGTTTGTTTGTTGTATTACATTTATTGAGTAAACTTCTTTGTTTCATTGTACTTTATTTTTAAAAAAATGAATGGCTGGAGCATTTTATATATTTTCTTAAAAATTCTTTAATTGCTTTAATTAGCATATTAACATATTTTATTCTATAGTTATGTAGCCTTCACAATGTAAAAGGTTCTTCATCCCTGATTAAAGGTATACCTCAAGACTGAGTACGTGTAGAGTTAGACATTCTAGTGGTAATAAATAATTATAACTTTATAGACAGCCCAGGAGAAGATGGATTCCAGATAGACTTTAAATCCCACCTGGAAACCCACTAATGAGCCAGAAGAAAAAAAAGTCTACCAACTGTGGTATTTTTTGTATTCTTTTTAAAAAGTTAGTGTATCTGGACTTAAGAATTCTTTTTATACAACTCTCCTAGAAAATACTTTAAAATGAATCTAGGTAAACTTTCTTATTAAGTTATATGTACATATATAACCCTATCCCCTTAATCATAATTTGAAAGTCTAATAAGTTTTGAAAACCGAAAGATTTTTCTGTGTGTACCACACACTCATTTGGTGGCAAAACCCCACCTGACTTGATGTTCAGCTAGTTACAGTCTCCATCATTCCATTTAGTGAATCTCCTTTATATGCTTCATTGCAGAAATAGTAATGTGTTTGAATTTAGTGTGGGCCCCAGCGATTGGGGGCTTGTGCATTTTCTTTAAATCCACTTTGCTCAGGTGAAACCAGGTCTCCAGTCACTGCCTGACCTTTGGCTGTTTTTGTTGTTGCTGCTGTTACTGGTTTTTCTCCAGCTTTGCGAACCTGGGTATACTTCATGTGACAAAGAAAAAAGTATTTGAAACACTGGAAGCACGAATGATGGAGGCATGCATAAGGGGCTATAATCCCGGACTCTTGGTGCATCCTGATCTTGCCTATTTGCAAGCAGAAGGTGGAGGAGACCGGCAGCTCACAGGTGAGCGTCCCTCTCCCAGCCCCGCTCCCTGGAGAGCTCTGGCTCTCCCTTCTCATGTGTGGACTGTGTTCTCATCTGCAGGTTTCTCCTTCTCCCAGTCTGTACCCCAAGCCACTCCCACCCTTTCCCTGCCTGGAAACCACTGGTGGCATCCTGCTGTTTCTAGAATAAAATTGAGACACCTCCGTAGCCTAGTATACAAAGACCTCACAGCCTGGCCCCAGCCCCCTTTCCAGCTTTATCTCCATCCCACCTTGTACGCACCTCCCCCATCACTGCCCCTTGAACACTGATGCATATTTATACTTTGTATGTATCTTCTCCTACCTAAAACACCCCATGCTTCCCTTTTCAACCTTTCAAAACCAATTCAGAATTCAAGACCGAATTCAAAGAATACCTCCCCTGTTATACCTACCCCAGCTCACCCTATTGTAAGGAATTTTTCTTACTTTGAGCTCTTTAGGCACATTATAAGCTACCCTCTGTATCATAAAAAATGCTATGACTACATGTTTCCCTGTCTTATGTTTTTTCTTTCAACCCCAATCTTTGTCCCACCACACATGCCATTCCTGCCTTTATATGCTGTTCTTTAGTCTGGCCATCAGCTCATACTCAGAGGATCCAAAACCAACCATCATGTTTCCACTAAACATGGTCCATCCTCTGATAGTCATTCTCAGAACTTCACATCACCCTTGAGTCCTCCTTCCCACCCCTGCTGCATCTCCATCGAGTTCGTGGCCCAGCTGTTCTGTGCTCTCTGGGGTTCCATTCCTCACTCCATTTTTCATTGCTCTGTCTTGTCCCTCCCCACTTCTAATCCAGTTTATGCCCGACAACCAGATGGACCTTACTAAAGTCTACATGTCACCTCTATCCAGTGTCTCCCCATTGCCCACAAAATCCAAATTCTGTACACTAGCGTTAGACCTCCCAAGAGCTGGCCCCAGTCTGCATTTCCAGCTCTGTTTCCCACTATGCCCCTTCTTGTCAACCTGAACTTCTCCATAGAAGCGCCGTGATTTCTCACCTCTTCTCCTTGGCACATTCTTTCTGTTCCTACTCGTCCCTCGCTCTGAGATGTCTTGATTCATTCTCTTCATAAGCTCAGGTTCTACCATCCCTTCAAGATTTAGAGCAGTGACTCTTCTGCTCCAGAGCCTCCGGATTCTCCCTTCCTTTGCAGTTTGGTATCACTTCAACTGTAGCTCTTGTATAGTATTTATTGCTTGAAGTTATCACCTCTTATAAGTTAAGTGTGATTATGTCCATCAGCATGAGAGCTCCATCAGGAGGGAAGGAGCCAAGTGCAGCTGAGTCATTCAGTTCCTTCAGAAGCACTTTTCAGGTACCTGCTGTGTGCCAGGTACCATGGTAGGCGCTGTGGGATGCTCACAGAGCCTGGGCCCAAAGAGCTTTTGAAATGCTGCCTTTCCCATTCCTCAGCACAACTGAGGCAGAATCAGCTTACTGCGTTGCATTCCGTCACATCCTGTGTGTTTTTACTCTTATCATAGGGAGGAAAGGGAGAGGTTGGGGAAGATGGGAAAGGAGAGAGGCAGTTTGACTCGTGGAGGGCAGTTTTGACTGTTATCCAGAGAAAATGCAGGCCTTCTTTTGATGCCGTTAATTTTAGATGACATAAATAGACAGCTCTTAAAATTTTATTTAGCAATATGAAGAATTTCAAAATAAAAAACGAGATTTTTGTTTTAAGCTGATGTTCTTTATTTGGGCTTTATAAAAGCATCCTATCTAAAATGTTCATGCTCTGCTCTTCCCCTGGGCACGAATACCCTGTGTTGTCTGATCCCAGATCGGGAAAAGGAGGTCATCCGCCAGGCAGCTCTTCAGCAGACCAAGGAGATGGACCTCAGCGTGGTGCGGCTCATGTTCACAGCTTTCCTTCCAGACAGCACCGGCAGCTTCACGAGGCGCCTGGAACCCGTGGTGTCGGACGCCATCTACGACAGCAGTGAGTCCCTTACTGAGGGAGGGCTGCTTGGTGTCTGTCCTGTGGGTGGAGAACAGACTTCCAGCCCCGCCCTGGCAGTTTCGGATTAGCTTCAATTCCTGGGGCAAGTAACTTGATCACCTGGAGCCTCATGTTTATCATCTATGAAATGAGAATACTGAAATTTGGCTTAAAAAGCTGATGTCAAGATTAAAGGTGAAATATTGTGAGGTCCTCGATAAATCTTCCTCAGATGTGCATTTTAGTCTTTTACATGCAATGCCAAATCTCTTATGATTTATGAACTCCTTGCCATGGGGATGTATTGTTGGTGCTCTTAGACGGAGAAAGTATCTGTTGTTTTCAACGGGGCTCTGAAGAGAAGTTAATAAAAGACAGCTCCTATTCTGAATCCATTTTCATTCTGGCATATTAAAGTTTTATCAAGATAGGAATTTCAAGTTAACTAAATAAGTAATATAGATATTTTGTGGCTTCAAAATTCTGTTTCAGTCTATAGTTTCTGGAGTTTTTAAAAAGAGTTTTACAGTGGTCTTCAGCATCTACTTTGCAAATTTCTTATTTGATATGCATGGGATTTATTAAACAGATATTTCCCAAAAGTATATAGGTTCTTTGAAAGGTTATAGAGTTTGGTGGAAGTAGAAAACTCCATTCCCCAACTACAATAACTAACTGATTTCTCTAATTTAAACAAGTTTGAAGGGAAGTGAAAGCATTATAAAATAATGTAGACTTGTACACCAAAGATCACCTTAAAATGCAGCTGTTGGAGGGAAGAAAAAAAAGGAAGCTTTATACTATTACACACAAAACTTTTGCCCCCTAACCACACAGAATTCTAATTTAGTTTCAGGAAAAGAAGTATAACATCTCCATTTTTCTTTTCTGTAGAATAAAAATTAATAAATAGTTTAAGAAAACTGTGCTCTTCCTAAATTTCTAGGACTCTTGTAAAATGGTGTTATCAGTATCATAGAAAGAAGTTTGAGATTAAAGTCTTGACCTAATTGAAATTCCACAATCTTTTAGCTCAGTCCTTCCTGAAACATCAGGAAAGCTCTTTCTCTTTCTCTGTTACTCTCTCTTACTGTGTTAGCAGGAGGAACAAGTACTGCTTCTTTGTGCCTCGTCTGTTTTGGTGACAGTGAATGAACTACACCCGCGACGTGCTCTGAGCGTTTCAGGAGGCATTTTTGTTTTATTCATGTCCTTGTTAAGGTGATAGGAGTGAAAGCATCTGTTTAAACTTTCTTTTGGTTAGGGTATGCTAACGCCAAGTTCCCTTATGAGAGAGGCATGTGAAGCCGAGGATAAGTCGTGGTGTTTGTTGTTTTTCTTCTTTGGACAGAAGCCCCCAACGCGTCCAACTTGAAAATAGTAAGAATGGACAGGACAGCTGGATGCGTAACTGGAGGGGAAGAGATTTATCTTCTCTGTGACAAGGTTCAGAAAGGTAAATATATGCTCTGATCTCAAGATGTGGGATATAATTCTAAGTGTTTTTTTGAGTCACTTTTTGGCAGTGGGCCCAGTAATATCCTTGTTCTGCCGTAAGACTCCTTTTAAAAATTTACACAGTTCATCTCTTACCAAATTGAAGTTGTCCATCTTGTTTTTTAATCCAAATAAATCATTTTAAAATTTTTAAAGGAAGTAAAGAAAAATAAGAAAATAGTGATCATTGTAACAATCAGTGATACTGCAGTGTTTTTGTACTTTACACTTTGGTATCTGAACTGAGTCAAACTAAATAAATGAGTAATAGTCTGTGCTTCTCACACACACACACAATAAATTCTTTACATAGGGCTGTGAGGTTTAAATCAGTTAACATATACATGTAAAATCACTTAGAACAGTGTCTGCTACATAGTAAACTTTATAGAAGTTAAATATTCCTATTTAAATCTTTATCAAGTTGACCCACCTTTTGGGATTCTGATATTCCTCACTGTCCTTCACGTTTCTCAGGAGTGAATTTGTTTAGAGATAGAGAAATGAGAAAGTGAAAGGATGATTAAGAGAAAACTCAGACTGAATAAGTAAATCTGGTATTTTGTCATTGTAAATGAAACGTGGGGCCCATTACTAGGGTAACTAATAAAAAATTTCACTAAAAATTTTAAGTAATTCAAAAGTCTGTTTTGTGTTAATTGTTTTCAAAAAAGTTTAAGTACATAGTAGGTAGAATCTTGAACCGGCTTTTTTTTCCATCACATTCATAAATGTTATTAGACTATATGAAATTACACACCTGAATGTGACTTTTGCAGATGACATCCAGATTCGATTTTATGAAGAGGAGGAAAATGGTGGAATCTGGGAAGGATTTGGAGATTTTTCCCCCACAGATGTTCATAGACAAGTAAGTGGATGATGGTGGTGATGAAGATGATGATGATTTTACATTTTCTGCAGTGTTGAAATTCAGTACTTACTTTCCATATATAAAAAAAGTATTTATTTAACTTTTATGAAAGAACACTGTGTCTTGCAGGTGTTCCAGAAAAGTTACCTACCGTAGAATTATGGGCAAGGCTCTGTTAGACTGTCAGCTTTGAGACCTTGGCAAGACATCTCATTTGGGTGTCCAGTCACCTAGCCACAGGGCAGTGGCCCCCAAGTCCTTTAGCAGAAATTTAAGTGTTTGTGTTGGTCTGTTCAGGCTTCCATAACAAAATACCATAGGCATGATGGATGAAACAAAATAAATTTGTTGCTCACCGTTTTGGAGACCAGAAGTCTCAGATCAAGGTCTGACAGGGTCGGTTCCTGGTGAGGGCTCTCTTCCTGGCTTGCAGACAGCCACCTTCTTGCTGTGTCCTCACATGGCAGAGAGAGAAAGGTCTCTGGTGTCTCTTCTTTTAAGAGGACTAATCCTATCCAGTCAGGGCTCTACCTTCGTGACCTCATTTAACCTTAATTATTTCCGTAAAAGCCCTATCTCCAAATACAGCGACACTAGGGGTTAGGGCTTCAGCACATGAGTTTGGGGGGAACACAGTTCATCCATAACAGTGCTCTAGCTGAGTAATTATGGGGAGACCTGTTAAAAGAGAATTCTAATGGAAAGTGTTGAAAGGAGGAGTCTTCTAGTTGAGACTAATGTCCTCATGATAAATCAAGATTTCCCCGTGATAGTTGAGTATATGACTAAGAGATGAAAATGCTGAATCCTCATCTTAATGATTACTCTGATTGAGGAGTACAGTTTTCACACACACACACACACACAAAACTGGAAACAATCCAAATGTCCATCAGTAAGTGGCTAGTTAAATAAATTATGGCATACTCATGTGATGGAATATTGTGCAGTTATTAACAAGAATGAGTACTCTATGGACTAATGAGTACTCTATGGACAAATCTCAAAGACACAACATGAAAATGTTTTAGAAGATAGATACAAAACAAAGTGTATATTAAAAAGATTCTATGCTCATGTTTATATATGCATAAACACTGGAAGAATGCAAAACAAATGAATAACTTCTCTGTTTATTTCTGGGGGCAGACACACAGTAGGAGGAACAGGAATGGCAAGGAGAATTTTCAGTGTGTGCCATTGTGTACCTTTTTATATATGCATATTTTATAAGGCTTTAATCCCTGTGAATGTATTACCTAGTCAAAAAAAATCCAACTAAAAAATGTAAAGATGCCTAACTATTCTAGCACTAGCAGATCTGAATAAGGAGGCTGTCTCAGAGGTGTTAGAGAATGCCCTGTTTGCGCCTCGAGCCTTGGCCATCCTCGCATCACAGCGCACTGACCCTGTCATGATGTCTCCCTCACGATTTTGAGTTTACTCTCTTCATCAGCTGGCCTGCAGGCTGGTAGTAATATCACCTTCCTCATTTCTCTCTTTCCACGACTAGTGTTTCTGATGTTGCTGTAAATAATCTTGGCAGCTTTGAAGGCTGATTTGGAAGAGGAGGAGGTGTATGCAACGTGTTTTATTTCTGTGATTATTTACAGCTGAAAGGCACCTGAAATTTTAGACAAGTGATCTAATGAAGATTCGCAGTCCATTGGCATAGTCTTACGTTTCAGTTTCACACTGGCAATTTAATAAAAATATATGGGTGTACAGTTCTGAGTTTGTAGCCTTCTCTAGGGTACTGTATTTTTTGGAACACTGTGTCTAAACATTGGGCATAAGGAAGTGTTTAATGATGAGCACAGCTGGAACAGACACGCAGTCCTCCTCCAACACTGGGATCTTTGTATCTTGCAGTTTGCCATCGTCTTCAAAACTCCAAAGTATAAAGATGTCAACATTACGAAACCAGCCTCCGTGTTCGTCCAACTTCGGAGGAAATCTGATTTGGAAACTAGCGAACCAAAACCTTTTCTCTACTACCCTGAAATCAAAGGTAACTCGGTTGTTTAACTCTTGTGCTTGTTCCAATGAGAGGACAAGCTGATTAGAAAAGACCAGTGGCCCCCGAGTAACTGGCCCCTAGGTACATGGTACTTGCATTTAGAAAAGAAAGAAGTAATGCACTAATTGGGGGTCATGGAATGAAGTCCAGCCTTTTAAAGAATTGTTATTTTGACTGATTTTATATGAGACTTAGACATGTGGGAATTTGTCTTTGAACTTGAGAGTCTATCATTTACTGTGTAGCTTGGGGTTCGGGCAGTTGAGATGAGAAGATAAAGCTTGCTGTGTAGGAGAGTCAGCCCCTCGTCACCTGGCCTGAGGCAGCGGAACAGAGGACTCAGCCACCATGCAGTGCAGAGCTAAAAAATGATTAAGGAACCATTCTTTTCCTCACAAAATACACATGAGAAGGGGAGATAACAATCTCCTTAAATAGCTAAAATGTGAATTATGATTTTGATAAGTTCTCAAAGTGAAGCATCCACAAACACATAGGCGGATGCTGAGAAGAGAACCCTTGATTCTAAAGAAGCCACTGAGAAGAAGGCTTTGTCAGAGTCCTTGAAATTGGGAGTATATTTCAGTAATTGAGTGTGAAGCAGAGAAGGAAAGGGTTTCCTAGGCTCAGCAAACTTGAGGAGCTAAAACAGCTAATGTTTATTCAGAGAAAAGTGAACGCTATAAGCAGGGAGATGGAGTCCTACAGGCCAAGGCAGGTAAGGAAGGCCTGGGCCAGGCTCTGAGACGCTGCGATTGGCTCCTGAAGAATTTTGTATTGATTGCGGAAAGAGGGGATGAGCAGGCCAGTTTGGATTTGGAATGATGGCTCTGACTTCCTTACATGACACTGAGGAGACTATCCAGGCAGCAGTGACTGAGAAGAGTAAAGCAAGAATCCAGGTGAGAGTGGTGAGGTTAGGCGAGGTCTTCGCGCAGTGGAGGGAAAGCAGAAGGTGGAGTCGGAGGCAGTGCGGGGCTGCTGTCAGGAGGGTCCAGGTGCTGGTTGAGGTAGGACGTGGAGGAGGAGTCAGGAGTCAGAGATGGTTCTAGGAATCCCAGCCTGGGAAGGTTGTGATGTGGCTGAATTGAAGAATCAAGGGAGCAAAAGTAGATTTGTGTGGGCCAAGACGGAGTTCAGTTTAAAATACGTTGCATTTTAGCGTCCTGTGGCAGATTCCTAACAAGCTGTTCGAAAGGCAGGACTGGAACCGCAGAGAGGGCGGGTGGGAAACTCAGCATCGAGAGTCCTCTCAGACTGAGTGTAACGGGCCCCCAGAACGGCCAACTGTGCAAAGGTCCTTGTTAGCCTGGAGTCCACCGAGCCCTCAGGGGTCCATGGACAGAATCGTACTTCAAAATAATGAGGGTTTTTTGTAATCCTGTTTCGCATTTTACGTACTGAAAACTTTGGTTCTAAGACCAGATCCGTAGACTTCACCAGACTGCGAAGCAGGCCGTGGCACGAACAGACTAGAAGCCCCTGGATTAGAGGGAAGTGAGACTGGGGAGGGAGGTCAGTAGAGGGATGGTCACGGGGCACCGGTCCTGGCTGAGGCTGGAACCCACAAGGTGCCACAGCAGCGACCCGCGGCTGATCCTGTGATGACAACGCGTGGTGGGCCATCTTTGAAGAGGGCCTTCCTTTCCTAGAATTCGCGCTGTGGCAGGAGCGTTGAGAAGACGGTTCCGTGAGTTCTTGTTTCTTTTCTGAGCTGGTGACCTCTCTCCTGATGGGTCAGACTTATAGTGCGTCTCGTTACTGGTGGTTTGAAAACACTGTCAGCAGAAGAGCCTTTTTTTTCTCTCCACGTGAAATTCAGTGTAAAATCCCAGTATAGAAACCTGAGAGACTCTGGTTAAAATGGAGGTGGAGAGCCCTGCCCACGCGGCTCCCCCAGAAGCTGCCTCACCTCTCTTCACTTCCCCTCCCAGGAACTGCCCGAGGTCTGCTGAGTGCCACCGTCTGCATAAAATTTGTACACCCTTCTTTAAAAGTAGACACAGGAGAGAAACATGGCAATTTGAGGGGTATGGAGGACTTTCTGAAGGAAAAAACAAATAGATTGCTTCTCCTAAACGATGTCTTCAAAATAATGTCAATTTTTCTAACACAGAGAATCATGTAAAAAACAAAAAGGAAACCCAGATTACCCACACATGTGTGAGCCTAGGAATAGTCAGAGCTGCGCTGAGTTTCTAGCTGCCTGTGTCCCTTCCCCACTGGTATCTGTGCAGCGGTGCGTTCAGACCGTCGCTTCCATCGCCGCCCTCGTATAGTGGGAGCTGTCTGGTGCTGGGGTGAGAGAATGGGGTCTCCCGAAAGCTCAGAATCTCACCTTTATCCTTCACTTACCTGCCTGACTGTCACTGACTGAAAGCTCCGTACAATACAAACAATATAAAAAGAACCACCTGGAAAAATAAGAGTTAGCAGTTGAGCTCCACAGAAAGAATGGTGAACGTGTATTGTGATTGAGTCTTTGTGAGATTACAGCTGTTTTATTGAAGGTAGCAAATTACCTTAGTCCACAAAACCTTCTGGATTATAAGATCCCAAGACGAAATAATCACATGGAGAAATAATCACACCAACCATGACTGGCCAGAAAAATAACAGGCCAGTTAAGTGTAAGTGTGTGAAAATGAATCCAAACTGTACAACCCGGGGAACCACTGTGTGCACTTCTCAGAAGTCATTGAGTCCACCTTCCTCTGCCCCAGCCCCTACAGTCACTTCCTGTCTCATCGCCTAGCTTTATATTCTCCAGTTATTTTTTATCAATATGTAAAATTATCTTACCTATTACTTTGTCTCTTGTCTTCCCCCTACGTCCAGTAGAAGAATGTTCCTTAGGTCACACATTTGGTCTTCCATGTTTATTGCTACATCTAGAACAGTCGTTGTCACATAGTAGATGCTCGTTAAATATTAGAGAGCTGAGTTATTGATTGACCAACCAAGTTGCCATCCTCATCCAAAAGGCTAGTAACTTGTTGGGTGCCATCAAGTAGGACACTAAACAAAGAAATATCTCATACTCCTTTTTGTTGTACAGAATCATCCAGCCCTGAACTCTGCATCCTCTGTGGTCACTGACATTGTGTCTCATAAAAACTGCATGGACCCATGGTTGGGTCCCGGAGAGACAGTTAAAATCAACAAGAGAGGGGTGATTGGTGAGGGAAGAAGCTAGTTAAGGAACCGCTGTCACAAAGGCAAAGAAAGACCATAATGACTTCAGTCTGGAAAGACGGAGGTTAGGAAGACCTGGAACCACAATCTTTAAGTTGTGAAAGTTATGGTCAGGGTAAACGCAGGCATCCTTACTTGCAAACTAGAACCCAAAAAACAAGGGTTTTTTTTCCTTTTAAGGCACATGGACATCAAAAGGTGGTAGAGGCTAAAAGTTTTATTGACATTTGTGAACTAAGCTATTATCTTAAATCATGATTGTTAAAGGAAGCAAAGATATTTTCGAGTGTTTCCCAAAGAACGGTGACGTAATACCATGGGATGCCCGCTAGACTTTATGTCTGACCTTCCCTCAGCCCTGACCTCACACAGGCCCCTGATGCATCGTAGTTTATGCTTCCTCTTCTGTGAAAGGAGAGCTTGTAGTGAGTGGCTCTGAGGTCTCTTTTAGAACAGGCTGATGCTTGGTAGTGCCTCCCGTGGTCCACTGTCCAAGGCAGACCACAAGGATAAATGAACCCAGTGTGAAATTCTCCACATTCAAGTCGATATAAATTCAGGCTGCAGGTTCTTCTATGATAAAGCTTGTCATGTGGAATTTTCCGTATCAGTTTCTTGTCATCAAAATCTTAACGGCTGTAGGATAGTTAATGTTTTTTCAATTGACTCTTGAAAATTCCCATTTTTACGGTGAAATATAACCAGTGACTGTCCCCTGTTTTATAAGTCAAAAGGAGTGCATAGCAAATACCAAATGATCTCTTTGCTAGAAAGCATGTCAGTAGATAACACTTATTTCTGAAGGTGAGTATGTTGTCTGCTTTGCTCTTGTGTTTCATATTCTAATGAATCAATATTCCATGTGAGAGCAACGCTTATAGGATGAGTAATAATTATGACTAACAGTTCATTATAGTACCACTGGTGGAGAAACTTTATAAATCTGTCCCAAACCTTTGATAAGGAAATTGTTCAAGTTTTCCCCCTTTGAGATCACCCCTTTCCAGTGGAAGCCTCTTTTCTTCAAAGTTGACCCACGTTGGCTTTTTTCTTCCTAACAAGTCTGGACAGGATCCGTTTTTAAAAGATTATTTTTAAAGTTCACTTTGCTACCCTACTTTCCCCTGCTTCATCTTCCAGCTGCACTTAGATGATCATGAGATAATCAGTAAACAACAGCATTCTTTCTAGGCCTGAGCGGACTGAAACAACCGCAGAATTAGAAACGAGTGAAGATCTTTCTGAACGTAAACACTGACCAGAACTGACACAAAGAATCAGAATTAGGACAATTGTTTAGTACGGAGCTGCTGATTGGAAAAAAGAAAAACTGTATTGACTGTTTCATTTAATTTAAACAAAAGGTGAAAAACTTCCTTCACCCCTTCATTCAAAAGAGAGAAGGGAGAAAAAATATATATGGTGGGAAAAATCAGAGACGAGAAAGAAAGGGAAACAGAAAGAAGAAACAGAAATGCAGCAGGAGACCACAAAGGCACTGGCAGAACTCGGGGCTGGTGA